ATCATCGATATCATCGATATTACATGGGACTCATGTAATATCAGATCGATGGATACTAAAGACAAAATTACAATTTATGAAAAAAATGGAATCCAATATAAATCATCATCACTAGATAAATATGTATACGAATGATAGTTAGGTAGGTACATACCTTATTACTTGTATGCTTACGGCCGGAGGGGTTACCATCGGCCGCCGATGATCGGCGTCGAGACGACTGTGAAGTATCTGGGACTCGTCCTCGATAGTCGGTGGAACTTAGTGGAGCATTTCCGACGTTTGGCTCCTAAGTTAGAAAGGACGGGGGCGGCGCTTAGGTGCCTCCTATCCAACCTCGGGGGCCAAACGCCCCCTGCCGGAGGTTATACGCCGGTGTCATGCGGTCCATGGCCCTCTACGGCACCCCTGTATGGGCGCCGAATCTGATGCGGCGGCCCGCTTGCCGGATTTAACGCCCCAGGGTGTTACACGCGCGCGGAGTCCCGTTGACGCGCCAGATAAGTGCGTGACGGGAAGAGCTCCAGCGCGATATCATGGCGGAATGGCAGCAACGACTGTCGCAATTGAGGGTTGGGCTCGCTTCCATTGTAGCGGAAAGTCCCCTCTTTGAGGAATGGCTCGAGAGACGCTACGGCGTCCTTACCTACCGCCTGACGCAGGTCCTCACCGGACATGGGAGCTTCGGGAGGTACCTGTGTCAGATAGGACGGGAGGAAATGCCCGGGTGTCATCACTGCGAGGACCGCCCTGAGGACACGGCGAAAGATACGGTAGGGGCATGCCCTGCATGGGTTGAGCACCGCCGTGTTGGGCACTCAGTGTATCCCGTTTTATGATTACTGGGCTTATTAAAGCGAGAGCAAGAGGCACATTTAGGGGCTTTTTCTATAAGCTTTTAAGGGATTCTTTAGGAGTAATGTATAATAGGAGTAGTGTATTTCATTTCAACCGGTTACTCAGGCTGTAGGCTCCGATGCTGACATTTGAGTTGAAATCGTTCACACAAGGAGTAAATTGTGTTTCCAGAAGTAGCATATCTATATTATGTGAAATTATAATTATTTATTACAACATTATTATTTATTACAATTAGGCATCTTCAAGTATTTAGATATGTTCAAACTATATGTATTTTGTAAAAGTATAATTATACATATTTTTGGACGTTCGATGAGAAATAATACACAATGACACCCAGCCCGGAAGTAACAATTTGTGGATCACACAAAGAGTTAGTCCATCATCCGTGCGGGAATCAAACCCGCTACACGTTAAGCGGCAGCCCAGCCACCGCACCAACTGTGCAATCTTTCACTAATCTCTTCATGTATCTCTTTGAGGGGTTTACAAGACGTGTTTGCTGTAATCTCCATCATTGCACTTTATTAAAGGTCTGTCTATCAGCGGGCGCTGGTTAATTTCAGGTGCTAATTTATTTGGCACAGTATTGCCAATCCAACACTCTCAGTTAACTTTTTAAGTTCTAAGTGCGTCATACTTGAAATATGCATTGTTTACATACAACTGCAGTACAGATAAAATGATGATATGATTTTTCAAGTTGAATGGAATTTTATCAGAAACTATGTACCATAACTATTGCATTGTTCGAGAATTCTATTGTCATAATGCTTTTCAACTAAGCTTATGATGAGTAAAGGCGTATTTTTAAATGCCTGTTCTACAGAAATATTATTATATCTATGGCCCGTTCGTAATTTAAAGTTTAACTTCTGATTAAAAGTATTTTGTACTAAATAAAATTGTTTTTATCTCTGCATCACCCAAAGGTCTGGCTGGAGGAGAATGCCCTAGGCATTAAGCCCACCTTATACTTACATAAGTGTGTGCATGAAGTAAAAAAAAAATGAGTGATTAGATAAAATGATAAATGAGTCCTATTTTATCTAAATTAATAGGTATTTTTGGTTTTCTATCTAGTAAAATATAATTATTTAGTTTTATTTTAATTAATTTTTATCTTAAGTTGTATAGTACCTATATTTAATTTAGTAATAGTTAGTTTTATATGTTTTTATTATTATCTGTAAATAAAAAATATATTAAAGTAAATTAGGTATACATATTTATTAGGATTTAGCTAGTTATAAAACTGAAAATGGTCATTCAAATTGGTGGAGCTAATTTAAAAACATAACTTTTTAGCAATTTGTCATGTCATTATTTACTGTCTGGGTGTTATATCATGTTGTCGTAAGCATTTCCTCGGCGACGACGCCCGCGCCCGCCGCCCGGCACGGCACGGGTGACTGGGCCAGCCAGCAGCGCTCGCGGCACCAGCCCGCAGCTCGACCAGACGTAATGTGCTCGCGATAGATGGCATTCAGGTCGGACGACGTTACCGAGCGGACGCGCGTTCTCATATTTCGAGCGCGCTCACCTCGATCGTTGAACATTTCTATCGAAAGTTTTTGTTGTACAGTTTTTATTTAGCTTTTACTGTTAGACTGCTACGCGGGTGCTAGTACTAAGAAAAAAAATTCAAAGTCCATATTTAAAAGCTTACGTGTTCTCCTTTCTCTGTTGTGGTTGCCATAAATTGAATTTTGTTACGAGGTGACGTATAAACACTGTGCCGGTGATAACGGAGAATGATGTGAATAGTGTTGTGTTTATGTTTGTGATGTGCAGTTTAGTGTAGACGTGGGTTGTTTACAATGGGGTACGCGTCGAGCGGAGCGGGGCGCGCTGCGCACGAGGCGCTGCTGGCCCGCCAGGATGCAGAGTTGAGGCTCATGGAGACCATGAAGCGAAGCCTACAGGCTAAGATGAAGAGCGACCGGGAGTACGCCCTCGCACTATCTGCCGCTGCCGCACAAGGCCAGAAGATGGACAAGTGTGAAGAACTTAACGGTAAAGTTCATCGCCACTTAACGAGAATTAACCCTATTAGCACCGCCGAATAGTCTACTTACACCAAAACTTCATTTCACTGTTATTTTAAAGAGTATTGTATAAAGGCCAGGAGCTAGAAAACACTAAATTGTACATTACCTAGGCACCAATTTAAGAAAAACAATCCCACTTTAGCTTCACTACAGTGCCTGCAGTGGAATCTTTTCTTTGTTTATGTGATCTACTTTCTAGGATTATTTGCAAAGCAAGTGGTGGTAAGTTGCGTTTTAAAAGAAGGGTACTTTGAAATTCGAATTGTTTACGAAGGAGCATTATAAAAAAAAAACAGTAGTAAGTAGTGGACCTTTGAACTGCATCATTTCGTCTACTAAAAAAAAAATATATATATAAAATTTCATTAAATATTACTAGATTCCAGTTTCTTTTTTCAAATGTGCATACACAAAAAGATGTCGGAAACCATTTGGTAGCTAGACTAATGATTTAATTTCCTATTTACCTTTGAATGGTGTTTAAATTAAACATTTTTACCAATGATACGGGTGTTGTTTATTTCCGGCAAAATAAAGACCTAGTCTTTTTCCTGATCGTTGTTAATTAAGTATCTAAGATATAATTAGGTAGTAGATAACAAGTTTATAATTAGCAACTGTTTTTTTAAGTTGATTCTCACAGGACTTACGTCTTTACTCTTAATTTACTTACGTGTATTTCAGGCCTAATAAATGCCAACAATCATCAGCGTTTATGATCGAATTTAAATATTAATTTTCAAATATCGAATTCGGTTTTATTTCAAATGTTTCAATGTTTTATGACTGAAGATAATAACTGATGTGATTGCAATCGTAAATCTTTGGATTAAGGTCGATTTTTGACATTCGCTCTGTATGGGGTTCCTATTAAATAGGTATTAAGATTCTGAAAAATAACGCACTTGAAACATTAACAGTTAGTGTTAGTGGTTTATTTATGTGTGCGTGTGTAATGGGTTACCACGTTATGAGACTTAAGAAAATGACAGATGTCCTTCATGTGAATGTGTGTATGTTCTGCGTATAAGTCTATAGTAGCCAGGTGCCACAGTCGTTTTTTCAAGAGACTATGTCAGCTTTTATTGCAACGTCTTTGTTTTATCATTATCTATTAACAGACATTTTCATTATCTACATTACCTAAATTGTACTTAGGGCGTCCCTGCAATAGTAAAAAAAATGCGCCAAGTATCTGTAAATTAATTTTAACCGTATAATTATCCTTTTTACGAATGATGTTACATAATAATTATGTTTTTACCAATATTCCAAGTGGTAGGTGTCACGAGTCACAGTGGGCGATACCATTGTTCTCACTATAGATAACCCATTGTGGGTTGGCCCTACCTTATGCTTTAGTATTGTTGTTGAGGACCATACTAAAAAAATGTTATGGTTATTTCAAAATGGGAGAGGACAGGTAGCTCTTGTGAATTATTTGGCAGCTTTCAATTCCCTTTGTTTTGCAACTTTTACCTTTTAACAAGTTAATGGGGATGATGACAGGGTATGAAAATTAAAAATATAATTAGTCCGTAACTTAGGTAATAAAAAAATATTGGACACGTATTTTTTTATTTTGTTGTATAATAAAACAATACTTAGATAAAACGAATCAAAGTTTAGGAGTGGGGGCTAAAACGTCATTTCTTAGTATAAAATGTACTGAGAAGTGACGTCACGCGACATTTCAAATCAATATATCTTCGAAACTATTCGTTTCCGTAAGAAAATAAAAAATACGTGTCTAATGTTTTTAAATAATCTACCAGACGGACATTAAAATAAAAATTAGTCGTCTACCCCATTGTTATGTGAAAAATAAAAAATAAATATGTCTGATTGTCTATACATGTAAACAATACATATTATTTACTACTTAAGCGTACGTAATTGTAAAATTACTACTCTAACGATACGATATCTTATCTAATGAATTTCTGGTTCATTTTGATATGCAATTGAATCAAATGTTTATCGATCGCATTGACCATTTGTTTCCGATAAATACCTAAGCCAGCACAAATACAAAAATTAAAACGAAGAACGTAATAAGGATTAAAAAGAGAATTAGTATTTGTAGGATTAATAAATTAGGTAGTCTTTGCTTACAAAATGAAGAAGTAGTATAAAAAAAATAAAGGTAATGACGTAGTACGTAGACAGACTACGTAGTTAAAGGTAGGAATCCTAAAAAGTCGGAATGTGCCTAAGAATAAATGTAAAAAAATAAAATAGAAATGTGGGACGAGCCAGTGTCATGTAAAATTCTTTCAGTCAAATTGTGCCAGGAATCAGTCACCAGGTTCGACACGCTTCTAGTCTAGACAGAAACGTAACCAATAATAAATATCTTATGACTTAACTACGTTACATAAATATTTTTTGTGACCGTCCTAAACAGCTATTTCCTCGTCAGTAAAAAATAGCAACGTTTTCTCTTATCATCATTTTATAAGGACAATTTGGGTACTACAGTGACAAAGGCTTCTCTCTCAGGAGGAGTTTGTCGTTGAATCGCCAAACACGGCAGCAGTTACATCAGCTTTGCATCAGCCGCAAGACATCCACTGCTTCACTGGCCTCCCCAAAGACCACATATTATTAAATACTAACTTTTTTCCTTATTGTCCACCATGTCAACAATGAAAGTCACACGACTTATTAAGTAATTTTAAACTAAACAGGATAGACAATTATTTCTAATAAACAGTGATTTCAAGTAAGATAAGAATGTCTACGTATTACATTACATGTATCATTTTATACTTACAGTAATTGTCCTTTTGTTCCAGGGTCCGTGATAGCATCTGCCTGGCGGGCCATGACCGAAGAATGGGAGAATATCAGCCGCCTTATCAGGGCTAACGCTGAGGCTCTAGAATCTAAAGCCCTAGACAGACTTACAACCCTCATGACAGAACGAAGAAAGTCAAGGAAAGTGTATCAAGAAGATCATACAAAAATCTCTTCGCAGTTCACACAGGTACGTTTGTAACAGAAAAAAGTTCAAAACATAAGTTTAAGTATACTTATTGCAAAATCAGGGAACAATACATGTTTGTTGTCTGCTACTCCCAAAAGATTTTGTCTATAAGGCAAAACGTAACGACATCTCTCTTTTCTAGCCCAATTTTTGGAAAAATATTCATTGGGTTTAACGTAAGTCAACTATTGCTATTCGAGAGCTTGATTTTAATTGAAACAGGCTCTTTACCAAGTCCATAAGTCGCAGCTTTCTTATCACAAGTGGTATCACCGTATCGGATCACGTCTGACGTCGATAATACTGACTCATGTACTATTTCACTAGTTCTTTAGTTCCTATTCAATCACGTACGTCTTTCGTTGATAACTTGGAATGAAGTTATCTGCTCATGTTAGCTAGGTTCTTTTAAATAAAGCCTTATCTTAATTTGTGCAAATTATGAAATTGCAATCCAATATTTTGAGTTGATTTTAATTTAGTGTACTTACTTAAAACTATGCCATGTCGTGTGACTGCAGTGTATATGCACAAAGTTCTCCGCAATCAGATAGTTCCGTTTGCAGTTGCACATATTGTGTTTATAAATGTTTATTTATTTTCTAAATGGCCATGTCTAGAGCCGAACAGTCGGAACCCGCGGCCCGTTACTGACCGGTTCGGCTAGCTTCTTAGTTCCTCGTTCGCTTCCTATCGCTGATCTACTCCCAGTACCTGATCCACGCAATTAGGTCTTAGCGAACGGTGCAAACCAAAGAACCGTGTCGAGGCCAGTTTACAAATAGACTTTACCACCACCAACGGCTAAGTTCCATATTGGTTAATCGATTTCATTCGACAGACACCGCCTAGTACCACTGGCTATTGATGAATGATCCGCTATGATCATTGTCTATAACAAATTGTACAAGAGAACATGCGAGTGAATCGACTTATTACCAGATGCAATAACACAAATCGATTTCTTATTCGCTCCAAACTAACGTTTACCGGATCGAATCTCAGGGAGGGACCAGTTTTGTGAAGTGTATTTTTGCAGCTTAAGTTCTTGTTAAACTATAAACCTGTTTATCGAGATTAGGATTTCGAAATACTCAGATATCATTATGAACGCCATCTCGTTTAGGTTTTGGACTAATGCCAATTTTTTGCTTGCGATGTAAATAAAACAAGCAATATTGGCGCCGCTGTGCCGTGCGTCGTGCGTTATACCACCAACATTATACACGCATCTGTTAACGTTTTATCTGGAACTTAAAATTAGGCTGCGCTCTATTTACCAATGCTTACTGGCTATAAATGATTTATGTTTTCGCAGAAACTGTGGGTTTCTTTCTGGGCGTAGACGAAATGAACGTCAGTGTGACTAAATGTTAGAAAGTTAGTTATCCGACTCGTGTCATGGCTCGAAGGTAGAAGCGACAGGAAGGACATTTGTATGCTAGGGAATGCACTCGCTTTAATGAATGACTGACATTAGACCGCACAGTAACGACCTCCTGGAATGCGTGGGACGATACCCGGAGAATTACAATTCCGTTCACAGATCACCGTCTACTTGAACTTTTTCAGCTAACAAAGGATTACGTAAGCCTTTGGATCAAAGCTTACAACGATGACTTTGAACTTTTATGAGAACTAATAATAAAATCTGTTTCGGTCTGAATGTTCGTACGGGACATAAAGTAAGATTGAGGTTTAATAATGTCAGAATAAGTTAGTGATCAGAAGATTGATCGGTAAACAAAGCCAGTGCAAAAGCAACCCAGGTTAGGTGAGAGGTCCTTCGCCCACCGCGTCTCGCTTTCACTCGTTGTTATTCGAATGCACCAGAGAAGGATGTAGACATAATTTCGTGATTTGAACCGAGTCGCGTAAAGTGAGATTCTGTATCGGGATTGGTCGCGCGGCACCTGTCAACGTTCATTGGCCCTGCGCCTGCGCTGCGGCGCGTGCACGACTGATTTCTTTTTAGTTTCACCTTTTTGGCCATTATTTTTGCATTAGTTTAAAAATGATTGCTTTTTGCATGAGGATAATGTTGTCTCAATATCTCTTACTGTCAACCAAATATAAGTTTTTTGTCCTTTTTGAAGGACAAGAAAGGAAATTAAATTCCTTAAAGATGAGAATATTACTAGTCCTATATATCTTGTTCTAATAAGTACCTAATAATAATATATGTCGATACCTATACCTATACATTTAATTAATTCTGCGGTTTTAGACCGGACATTAGTCATATTGTACCTATAATGTCTATGCAGTAGATGTCGAAATCCGAAACTAAATCCGGCTGAGAATGTAGTAATCACGAAGTCTTCGCATCCATCGCACCGGATGTTGTCACTAGGTCTTTTAGACTCATTTGGAAAACTAGTGTCTTTCCGTGTCTGCTTTACAAAACAAATAAAAACGTCTGTATCTAGGGCAAAAGAATCGCGACGTGCCTTCTTTAGTTTCCCAAGTGACCGCTAACTATTGACAATTTCACCCAGTTTTGTTGATGACTGACTGACAATGCTTTCCATTAAATTGCCGTCTATTTTCGCTGCAGATGTCATAATTACTTTCAGATTAAAGTTTGTATTTTTGTTGTCTAGACAAACCGTCTGACCTACAATTATATTGGAATTAATACTTTGATTAATTGCTGTCCTCGGGACTCTCAACAAATTATAATTTCATACCGAGACATATTTCTCACGTCGCGTCGATTCGTCATTTGAAGCCTGAAGGTGAATGTCATAATATGTATGATACCGATGCTTAAGTCATCATTGCATTTCAGCCAGTCTGCAACGTCATTAGGTCATTACACAGATATGCTATAATTGCAGGCTTGCTGTGAACTGTATTAAATTATCACTTTATTACTTTATTTTTTAAACGTGTCAACCTTGCGAGTCGCGATGTAGAAAATCTGCGGAGGACCGGGTTACTGAGATTCCAGCTGGAAGCAGGAGTAGGAACGGGGTGGTTTTTAATCTGTCTAAAAGACTCTGCCATTCCCTCTCGACTCACCCAAGGCAGGAAAAGCCATTGGATAATTTCCCCCCCTCAAAAAAACCGATGTAGACGTGGATAATAAATGTGTGTGGTGTGAGGTTGTTGTCTACAATGTTAACTTCTGAGGTCAAACAATACATATTTTATTTACTTACGATGATATGAATGTAATTGTAGTAGTACATAATATGCGTATTTTTTTATAAGTAGGTCATGTTCATAGCACGCCGCGTAATTACGAAGTATTTCTAGACTATGTGTAACGTACAATTAGTCGTGTGGATATCAGTGTATGACATTTTATTTCTTGTCTCCGTAAACATAGCTATCGGGTTTGTATTGCAAAATATCCGTTTGACTTGAACCAGTAATACTACGGAAATAACTTATTGTGTAACATTTATCTTTGCTTTTTATTTATTCCCGTAAAGGTTGAGTTGTGTGGGAAAAGGAAAAAGGAAAAGGTGAAAAATGTGGAAGAGCCATGTTTCGGCACGAATGGGCCGGCTTGACCGGAGTGATACCACGGCCTCACAGAAAACCGACGTGAAGCAACGTTTGCGTTATATTTCGTCGTGTGAGTGAGGTTACCGGAAGCCCAATTACCCTCCCCTTCCCCAATTTCCCCAATCCCTGAATCCTCATCGATCCTCAAACTCCTAATCCCCAACGCACGCACTTGTAACGCCTCTGGTGTGGCAGGTGTCCATGGGCGACGCCGATTGCTTACCATCAGGTGATCCGTCTGCTCGTTTACCGGCTTATTCCATAAAAAAAAATTAGTTCCAATATTTTACGATGTTACAAATAGTTATTTTGATGTAAAACAGATTTAGTTGTGCGTCTTGTATTATTATTGACGTTGGGCTGTATCCATCAACAATAAAAACAACATAAAATTGTGTCATAGTTATATTTAGATGAGCCTATAATTAAAATAATTGTTCTGGGCAAAAAATTAAACGATAAACATTTTTTCTCAAATAAAGGATAGCCGTCTGCTCGCCGAAAGCAATTTATAACAGTTGGTATAAACGGCCATGAAACCATTTGAGTAAATTGTAAAATAAATTGAATGGGCAATTGCTAACCGTATGGATATAGCGAGTTGTGGATCAGGGCGTTATTGGTACTTGGGAGTCGATTGTTTCGTATTTGATAAATATACTTAAGGTAATTTACAGTAAATGCTGTAAGTATCTTAGAGTACCTTACATTATAAGGTCACATTTTAATAAGCCCATATATTTAGAGAGAAAACATTAAACTGTAGGATATAAGTATCAATATAGGGAACAGATTTTCACTCTACACATACCAGATAATCGGATTTGAGAACTATCTTTCGCAATTATGATTACATTAACGTGTCGTTGATAGAATTGTAAGAATGAGAACAAAGTTGACAGGAAATCAGAGTGACATGATCGGTCCAAATATGAATCGATGGGAGCCTGCGACGCCCCCATTGTTGCGCAAGAGTCGAATCGTCTCATTAGTGGGCCGAATGCGCAGGGAAAGTGAAATCAACCGACGATCAGTGAAAGTCTCAATGACAGTTATCTAATTTTGATAGCAGGTTCGTGATTATGACGCGTCTAGCTGTGGGTGATCTCGGACCAGTTTAGGGCAGATCGATTAGGGACGAGTTTTGATACAGCACCTACGCTGTGGCCGCGGTGACCAGTCGGCTGGATTCCACTCCCAATTAAACCTCCGATCGTGACTGATTTCTTCTGCACTGATTTTACTCACATTCTTCGTGTCAAGACAAAACTAGATCAAGGTAGTTTGTACTCGTTTGTTTCTCAGTAATATTAGTAATTCTGGTCGCCTAAGGCCGTAGGACAAACAGAAAACCTAACCAGCTGTTCACACTAAATGTTTGACGCAAGTTATTAAATAGAAGTAAGTGTTATTATTTATTTGCTTGTAATAATAAATATTGGCTGCTAAAGAAGTCATTTATTAGATAACTAGGCAGGTAAAGT